CAAGTTTATTATTGTAATCCTTGTGGAACAACTTCCTTCAAGTTATTAGGCAGACATTTTCTGTGGATGTGATTAAAGCTCTAAAGACCCTGATATTCATCCTATATTGTGTATCTTATATTTATGTACTGTACTTATTTGGTCTTTCTTCTTCTATTGTTCTTACTTATATTGTTAAACTCTAGTTTGTTTTGCTTTTCAATATTTTAGCAACCATCTAGCACATTCTTTCAAAGCAATAAAAACAAGGAATTATTATGAAGTGAAAGTTCAATCTGGAGACTCTTATCAGTCTCACCTGGCTGATAAGAGTCGGTCTCAAACTTGATTTGAGACCGCACCTCCTCCAAGGCCAATCATCTTTCAAGATCCCCTTCATTTAGCTCCTAGCCTAGCTTCTCTCCCCAAACACCAGTGAACTTTCACCCCTCTGCCCCATTTTCTCCCTCTCTCTCTCAGACTATTCTCAATCCCACTCACCCTCTGGCTTATTCCACCACCAGGCAAAAAAACTACTCTAAATATTTTCCTAGGTTACTCATCCACGCAAATGTTGACTCACAGCATCAAAGGATTCTGCCAGGGCCCGAGCGCCAAAAAAATTATTTCAATTATTTGAATAAAACTCTTATAATGGGATCTTTTCTTTGTGTGAGTCTCTCCAGGTTGGGATTATTATCACCCCTTAGGTTTGGGAGTCTTTCCTCTGCTTAAATAAACATTTGAACAAAAGAAATTCACGTTTTCTGATAAAGTGATTAGAAAATGTAAGAAAAAAATGTTATTGTTGTTGAAGACTCCTGGAACGTGAATAGAATCATTATATCGACCGAAAGCATTTGAGAAGTTTAAATGGAAGTCAGCCTATATCAGGATACGAATCACAGTTGATCAAACAAACAAGGAAATCCTAAATCCATAAACAGCAGACAAATATTTGAGGGACACAGTGGTTAGAAAAAGAACATGTTAAAGGTTATATGAGTCCACCATACTGACAAGCAGGACTTGGATTATCATCTACTTCTATCACATATAATGAGGCATAATATTGCCTGCAGCATTATTTAAATTGATAATAAGTTATTTAAGGTGTTACCTTTGAAACCTTGATTTATTTAGTTGCAAATGTTCAGGCATAGATTAACTTTATAAACTTCTCCAGTCGTATCCCAAGTAGCAGATTATGAGAAACTGCTTTAAAGGACTAAATTAAAATTCTTGTTTTTCTCATTTTAGGTCTAAAAGTTACCCACTCTGTAGGATCTTATGTCTGGATAAGATCCACCATCAACCATTGATGCATGTTTCCGTTCTGGATCGCATTAATAATCCAGACACAGGCAGGATATTAAACTGAGGTCTGCTTCCCTGCAGAGGAATTCAGAATGAGTCCCATTCAGCCTGAAAACACTGCAGCTTTGTTATCTGCTGACAGTAACAGTTTCTGTGGATGTGTTGAACTAACGCTGACTGTACGGCTGCTGGAGGCTCTGCTGTCACAAACACGCACACACTGCAGCTGTTTCATAGCTTTAAATTCACTTTTCTACAGATCAAAACTCTGCTTTTGCTTTTGCAGATTTAAGTTTTAGAGAAAAGAGACACAAGAACAGATGAATAATTGCAGCCAGCTTTATTTTTAGGATTTAAAGTATTCCTCCAATCTGACGTAATGCTGCAGCTCAGCAGCGTCTTACATCAGTGTGTTCTTGCAGATTCATCTTCAGAAGCTTCATATGGAAGAGGCCTTCCAAATTAGCGTCCAAACAGCCCACAATCTAACCCAGATTAACCCACAGCTCCACAGTTTGGTATCAGGCTGTGCATCAAGTCTAAAATCCCCCCAAAAAATCCTCCCTGTTCAGGTTTTTGGCCCATTAACCCTTCAAAGATTGACAGAAAGCAATGGTTTCCTCTCACTGCTGATGTCATTCTGGCATGTTAAACCACCTGTATGCTCCAGTCAGAGCAGAGCTCGCCTTGCATTATTCATGCATAGTAACACGTCTGAGTTCATGTTGAAAACAGACCGACATCTTTCATGCTACATGAGTTCTGCAGGATATGAGACTCTGAGGTCCTAAATTATGCAGGAGGATTTCCCTCACAGCTGCAGTCTCCTCTCCTCCGGCTACCTGTGGCTCTGGAGCCACATGTGTCTTAAAATGTTGAGTAAACCTAATAAATGATTTTTGAATGTATGGATTTATAGATCAGCAGTTCCTCTATTTGATTTCATGCTTTTTCTTTGTAGTTTTTCACTGCAGGAAAACATTAATGTCAAAAAGAAAAAGGTTATTTTAGTTTAAATTTCTCACATTCTTATAAACGGATTCATATAGAGAATCCATTACCTTTGTTATGCTAAAGATAAGTGTTTTTGTTCAAGTATAAACTTAATTCAATCACTTTTAATTCATTGTTAAATCAGACTAAAGAAATTAATTCCTTCATTACAGGCGATTTAAAGAGATTTTAAGACAAAGATGCAGGAATGAAGGTTCTTGTTTCATCTTTGCTGAGAACAGATTTCATGGAAAACAGTATAATGCACATATACATACATTTCTACAAATAATATTATAGAAGAGTTCATTAAAGTAATTTAATAGAAAAAAAGAAACTTAATTTTTATCTTTAGAGTGATATAATTCAAAGTTTTTTTTGTTTATTTTTAAAAAAAAAGCAAATAAAAAAGGATTTTAAAATGATGCATTTTAAAGTATGGCCTAAACACCCATGAAGAAGACTGATGACGTCACAGATGTCATGGAGACGGGCGATGCGAGGAGTCCAAGCTGCAAAAGGTCGTTGATGAAGAAGCTGGTTGTTCACAGAACGCTGCAGCCAAGAATATTAATGGAAAGTTGAGTGGAAGGAAAAAGTGCGGTAGAGAAAATGCTCAAAGGTCAAAAGTGAAAATAGAATCAGTGTTTTAAGAGCATCTAGATCCGAGGTACAGCAGCTGCATACAGAGCTGTCTAGTAAGTCATTTAAAAAATACTTTGTTGCCTTACTTAAGTCAATTTTTTATGGAAGAGGATTAGGGCCCCTTAAAAAAAAAAAAAAAA